ACATCCTATATATACGTAGCGAATGAAAATCTGGTTTAGGGATTGGCGAGCACTGGTGCATGGTCCTGCTTCGATGAGTTCAATCGAATAGACTTGGAAGTGTTATCAGTAGTGGCGCAGCAAATTTTAACGATTCAACGAGCTATAAACGCTGGGAAGCAGCGGCTGGAGTTCGAAGGGACCGATATCAGTCTGGATCCGACCTGTGCCGTTTTCATTACGATGAACCCCGGATACGCGGGGAGAAGCGAACTTCCTGATAACTTAAAAGCGCTCTTTCGCCCGGTGGCAATGATGGTTAGTACAGAATTATGGTACACTTTCGTAAAATTATCTAAATGTCAATCAGTAAAAATTATTTATCAAAAAAATTTTAAAATTTTTTTTTATGAATAATAAAATAATTACTATAATAAGAAAAATTGAGAGACCATGGGGTATATTTTCAGGGCTCATTCTTCTTCTCGTGTATCTGGGGACTAGGCGGTGTCCTAAGTGTAAAATCCAGGGAACGTTACAGTCTCCTGTTTCGAGGGTTCCTTGAGAAAACATTCCCTGCAGAATTAATGGAAGAGTTTCAGCTGCCCGAACCAATACAACCACCTTCGAAACCGTATATATTCATCATGCCGAAGCATGGCTCAGTTTTCGATTACAGATTCATCAAAGAAGTATGAAGTCGTATGAAAAATTATACTCGTGTTCCCGAGAGTCTAAGACCGTTTCGCGCAGGTTCGGAGGTGGTGGGGGTCGCAGCGAACTCCCTCCACATAGTAAAGCATTGAGATGCGCAGAACGATCAAAAACTGAACTGTGCTCGATCTTAGACTTTCGGGAACACGAGTATATAATAGAATCCGCAGTTTAATAATGAATAAATATTTTTTAGCGAAATTATTAAAGGTATTTGTTTCTGATTAGGGCAAGGGAAAATGGAGATTATGGTCTGACGAATTAATGGACAGTCCTCCTATACCTCGCGACATCCCCGTGAATCAGATAATAGTGCCCACGGTCGAAACGATACGGTACACGGCTTTGTTTCGACTATTAGTGAGCAACGAGAAGCCGGTGCTATTCGTTGGTCCAACCGGGACCGGGAAGTCGGTTTACGTGGTCGACTTTTTATTGAAGAAGAACAATCCCGATGTAAATAAGCCGTTGATCATTAATTTCTCCGCGCAAACCACGGCTAATCAGACCCAAGATACGATCATGGGCAAACTGGACAGAAGGCGAAAGGGCGTTTACGGCGCGCCCATTGGCAAGCGGTGGATCATTTTCGTCGATGATCTCTCAATGCCGCTGAAAGAAGTTTACGGGGCCCAACCACCGATCGAATTGCTAAGACAGTGGCTCGACCATGGAGAATGGTAAATCTTTTTATATATACAAGTTAGTAAATAATCAATCAATTCCTCCAGAGTGAATAATTAAATAGATCACATAATTGCAACCATGTAATAAATTACATAACACGTCATGAATAGTTTCAATGAAATTATATGCAAAATGAAATGACATGAATATGTATGTATGT